TGTTGATAAAAAATAAAGACAACACAAACTGTGATTAGAAAAGTGAACAGGCAGGGAAAAATGAAATATTCAAACAACGACCTAATGATATTAATGAAATAACTTACAAAAGAGAATGGGGTCAATACGCAAAAATCTAACAACAACAACAACAACAACAATAACAACAGCAACAACAACAACAACAACAACAACAACAACAACAACAACAACAACAAACATAACAAAACAAGCCAGTAAAGGAATATCACTTGTTTTGTAACAGCAAAAAGGCGTAAGCATTTTACATGTTCATGTTGTATTCTTATATAAATATCGATAATCGATGGTGTAGCGGTTAAGCGCTTCGCTGTCGCACGCAGGAGAGCTGAGTTTGATTCTCGAGTGGGGGAGATTTTTCGTCAAGTATCTCCGGTTTTTCTGCTGAGATGTTGTTTCCTCTCAGCATGAGTTGGCCCTGACAGGCAGAGAAGGAAGCCCGCCTCCTAGCAAAACAAAACATCTTGTTTTTACCGCATATCCTGGATCTCCACTTTCTGTGGGGTTACATTTGGGTCGGCATGACGTCATGCGCCATTGACGTTCATAATTTATTTTATGAAATAGATTATCAACAAAACATTGATAAGTGTCATTTTTCATGAAGTCAGACAAACTAATAAGGCCAGAAAAATCAAACGATCTATATATGATGTGCGCAAACCATAAAACAAAACCCGACCCACACCCTTCTGAAAAATATAAGCGAATTTCCAACAGCATTGCATTTAGTATTTCAGATTCCCTAAGAGTAAACACATATTTCCACTTTTGTTCATGCCAAGCGCTTACTTTTTCCTGTGGCGCGTTTCTTTCACAAACCTGCCATCTGCATGTTTAACGGACCGGGATATCCCCTTCATATCCAGCCCCCCTGTTGTTTATGACTAGAATACACGCTGTTCGCATTAGTGGAGCTTTAGCCCAGTCCACAGGTTCTGTTAAAGGCTCTGCAAGGTCCCCACTTACGCCATGTGTTTGATTATTTTCTTCGTCCGGAAATATGAAGGTAAACAGGACGTGGGGCTTTCACCAAGCATAAGGTTTAAACCGAGACGTGTGTAGCACCTCTCGGTTTAAACTCATGAGGCGTGCCGACATAATAAGCTACTTCTCCGATTTTGGCTCTATGGAAATAGAATGTCAAATTTACTGGTTGAGTTTGTACAATTTATTAGAATGAAATAACAAAAGACGTGTTGAACTTGAGGGAAATGGCATCAGTTGA